TAAAAAACAGAAGAAAAAAATGACGACGTGCAAAGTGGTATAACTTCTGTAACTTTCAGCAGCCGCACGCATTAAGTTGGAACAGTAAGCTATTCCAAACATACATAAAATCCAATAAAAATAAATTAAAATAAGTGTTTCATTACTTTGTTGTGTTACCAAAAAATGGAAACAGGTGTATTATAAGCAGTACTCAGAATGCAGCCGGTAGACTTAGTTCATGTCATAGATTACTTGTATTCCATATTTCAGTATTTTTTCATGTTCTCCAGCCACAGAGGAAAGTAACTGTGGGAAGTGACTTTACAGTTAGTCAGAGGCTCAGAATGACCCCTGTCTCTGAATTATCTGCTCTCACCTCATTAAGCTGCCCCGCATTCCTGCCTGCCAGTAAGATTTGTCATTCTGTGACATGATACAACGTCTTGGTCAGTTCCTTGTGAGGGCATATCTGTACCATCTTTCCTTCGGTAGAACCATCTAGTGGACGCGTGTGAGAAGATGCAGCTGCAAGCCTCCCGGATCGAGCGGTTCCTGAGTCAGACCCTGGTCACCAAGGAGCAGGCGCTGCAGGTAACTGCTACCGGACATGAGCAGTGTCAGTCACACATTCACCATAACATGGTAACGCATTAACTCTATACCTAACCTTTGGCTCTGACTCCGGAAAAGCATAAATACTCACATGACATTTGCTTTCTGAAGGAGATGCATGATATTATTTCACTTTGAATACTCTGTTCTATGTGTATGTGTGGACTAAAATGACCTCTTCTGGCTAAGTGTGATGATATAGCTGTAAATAAACTGCGCATATGGTGTGTCTGGTGTCATCTGGGTGATGCTATGCACAGAGCGGTAATTTTCCATATTGCTGAATTTTGTGCCTACAATGGGTTGGCAGCCCATCTTGGGTTACATGAAATACAGTATTAACTTCTTGTAATTTACAAAAGCATTTTTTTTTTTAAATGAACAAGGAAGGATCTGTCATGAATAGAGACTAATATGTGAGATTTGGTTTTCCATTTTTATTTTTATGCACCTGTATTAGAATAAGACCTTTTAAATTTAAAATTTTCACTGTATGTAACTGCAGAAAACTGTAAATGGACCTACCGCCGTGCAGTGATATATAGATAAATGTTTGTTTTAAAATTGCACAGGATGTAATCCTCTCTCTCTCACACACACACACACACACACTCTCTCCCCTGTAGGTGGATGCTAGTGCGGCACGAGAGCGCGTGGTGGCGCGGCTCAACCTGGTGCGGGAGACTTTGGAGGAAGAAGAGCAGCGCCTCCTGGAGGCCGTGCAGAGGGAGGAGGAGCGGGTCCAGCAGTGTCTGCTCACCCAGAAGGCCCACTGGACCCAGGCGCTGGATTCACTCACACAGACGCGCACACGCCTCGTGCACACTCTCACCCACACCATGGATGCAAAACTTGTGGTAAGGGGGGGGGGGGGGCGCATACAGCAGCAGCCTTTACACTGTTGGCCCCTCTTGGCCCAAAACACTCAGGGGGAGGGACTTTTGAATGGGGGCAAGGAGAGCAATCAGAGAGCAGTGAAATTGGGTAGTTAATTGAAAATTAGTAAGCTGTTTAAATAATGGTCTGACTAAGTACAAACGGAGGTTTAAATCCTGAATACTTGGAATAACAATGACCTGAAATATCAGTTACTATATAGTCATTGTCAATCACTGCAAACCAAGTCTGGTGATCTTAGGGAGCACAGAATGCAAGTCAAAGACATCATTGCACTGCAGGGCATGTGCACAGAACCAGTTCCAGCTACCTAAGCTACATAACTGAGTATAATACGTGGGAGCTTCTTAAAGGATAAAGATCTGTCTGAGCACAATATAAAGCACAAACAATGCTGGCTTCTGACTACACCTAATATATCAGAATGATGGCAGCCTGCAAATGGTAGGAGAGTGGAAGAGACAAGAGTAAGGTCAAGTCAACGAAAGGCAAGAGAACTTAATATGGCAGAAAAGCACAGGGGAAGAGATTAATCGGTAAAGGTGAAATGGTGAGAATGTTCTTTACGATGTCTAAGAATGCTCAGATTTTATTTGTTTTCTAATTATCTTCCTGCATTTCAGAATTCAAGCCAGGACATCGCCGAGAGGTCAGTGCAGTGACTGTCTAAATGCATAACACCTTTGTATTCTCCAGATGAGGAACACATATGGTTTTGGGACTGGTCACCCCATTCTATCTCAGATCCACTGGTTACCAGATCTGTCCCCTATCAAATTCAAAATCTTTCTACTCCCCTTCAAAGCTGTACAGTGGTACCTCAGAACTAACACTTAATCTGTTCAGAACTTGGGTTTGAATTCTAAAAAGTTTGAGTTCTGATTTAATTTTCCCCCTAAGAAATAATGGAAAACCAATTTAGTGGTTCCCGGCCACAAAAAATTACACCGGAATATGTTTTTTTTTTTTTAGCATTTAAACACAAAATGAACAGGATAACACAAGAAGAACATATACTAAACACATCTAAGCAAAAAACCTGAAAAAAAATTAGCAGTCTTAAAAGTGACTTTGTGTTTGTGAAAGGTGCTATAAAAAGTCAAAATGTATTTGCTTGTTTGTTTGTTGTTGTTGCTATTATTATTATTATTATTATTATCTAGTTTCAATTTAGGTTTTTTACTCTTATGTTGTGAGTGATATTTATCACTGGTAAGGAAAGAGTCACGTCTCTCCCAGGGACCGATTACGGACCGGGCCAGCGGGGCCGCTGCCCAGGGACCCTTGGGGTGCAGGGGGCCCGTGGGGCCCCTAGCCCAAAACAATTTGCAACGCTTATCAACAATGTATTTTCGTTTGTCTATTTTAGAGGGTCTACATTCTTTGATCCTCTGCCTACAAGGGCCCCTGACCCTATAGGGCCTCTGGTGGAAACATGGAGGGAGGGCGTTTGGCTGCCAAGGGCCCTTGAATTGAATTGCCCTCGCAAACGTTTTGCCCAGGGGCCCACACAACCCATAATCCGTCCCTGGTCTCTCCACCTTACATTACATATCAATCTATGGAGAGACAGTGTTGAAAATAGCCTGTGCTAAGTCTCTAACAGTGTGGGATAATAAGCTATCACTGACAAATCTCACCATCGGTTTTGCCCTAAGGGTGGAGGAGGCCGAGGGTGTGGGCGATCCCATTGACACAGAGAAGCTCACCATGAAATTCGGCTGCAGCGAAAGCAAGCTGATCCTGGGGCTGTGGGCCAGCGCAGCGCTGTTGGGTCACTTGGGTCAGTAGCCTGTTTATGCACTGGAGCACTAATCAGACAGGCCTCATTCATCTTCCATTGGTGAGAACGGTCATAAGGTGGATAGCAGAGTAACCATGCTGCTGCAGAATGACCTCATTCGCCTGTTAATTTCACTTAATGAGGCTGGACTATAAAAAGAGCTGTAAATAGGGCACAGGAGTGCCATATAAAACATTACGTAAGGTGTGCTGAGCAACTATACGGGGCAGTGTTAAGTCATTAGTCTGAAGAATTTACAGAATTGATATTGAAAAATGGAGCTAACCTCATACACACTGAACTGAAAGATTGTGAATTACGGTCTTTCCCATATTCTCCCTCTCTCCCTTTTTTTTAACTGCCTCCCAATATCTCTCTTCCTTTATTCCTTATGTCTTTCATCTTTATCATATTTCACTCCTTTTTTTCTATTTTCAATCTGATATGTTGCATACATGTTGCATACTCCCTTCTTATCCTCGCCTCTTCCATCTATCCTTCCTCTCCATTCTCTTTCACTCCTTTCTTACTCTTGCCTCTTTCATCTACCCATTCAATCCATTCTCATTTACTCCATTTTACCCTTGCCTCTCTCCTCTATCCCTCCTCTCATTGTCATTTACTCCTTTCTTACCCTTGCCTCTCTCCTCTATCCCTCCTCTCATTGTCATTTACTCCTTTCTTACTCTTGCCTCTTTCCTCTAGCCCTCCTCTCATTGTCATTTACTCCTTTCTTACTCTTGCCTCTTTCCTCTAGCCCTCCTCTCCATTGTTATTCATTCCTTTTTACTCTCTGTCCCCCAGGTCATACTCCGATCAATCTGACATTCGACGAACGCACCGTCAGCCCCCTGCTTTCGCTGTCTCCGGACCAGCGCACCTTGACCTTCCTATCCAAACGGGCCAAGAGGAATCCCCAGTATGACCCGGCGCGTTTTGACAGCTGGCCCAATGCCCTGTGCTCCCGCTTGTTCTCCTCCGGCACCCACAGCTGGGTGGTGGATGTGTCACAGAGTGACGCCTTCAAAGTGGGAGTCTGCTATGCCAGCCTGGAGCGCAAGGGCTCCTCTGATGCATCCCGGCTGGGCTACAATGCCCAGTCCTGGGTATTGTCCCACTTCGAGGATGTGATCTCCTTCTGCCACGGCGCACGCCATGACTACCTGTCTGTGGTGCAGAAGCCAAAGCGGATCGGGATTCTGCTGGACTGGCCCGGCTGCACCCTTCTTTTCTTCGACGCTGACTCGGGCACCACCCTGCACACCGTGTGCCACCCTTTCACTGCCCCGCTGCTGCCAGCTTGTGCCGTGGGCAACCGCAGCATTACATTGGTGCAGCCATAACTCACCTGGCCAAATGCATAATTGGGATTTCAAAAATGCCAATTAGTCTAATTTCTGTGATGCCATGTCTCTTTGGTATATCATGTTTGCTAATCCAGTTGTCCTGGATAAGCAGCATGGAAGATGGATGGATGGATGGATGGATTGATGCATTGATGGATGGATTGATGCATTGATGGATGCATGCATGGATGCATGTTTTGCTATAGATAGATGTTATTGATGTGGTTTTATGTTTTGTAATTAATTCATAAACTGGTTAATTTATTCCGCCTGTGTTATTTTCAAACTCCAAAACTTTTTCATGGTGAAAGGAGGACCATCCTTTGCTGGGAAGCATGTCATAGCACATGGAGAAGCACGACAACGACGGGTATTGCTTACAACCAACAGCATCAGTGTGCTGTCAAACTTACCAGTTCTGTGCACTCAGTCTGCGTACCTAATCATTATTCTATGTACCAAACATTTATATGTTTATTAATTTAATAATAAGCCATACAGCTGCAAACACTAACAGTTCTTTTTGAATCATCTCCCCCCAAAACATACAACCAGACATCCAACCACTACACAAAATAAATGCGTAAATAACACAGTGACCCAAAATATTGAAGGGAAAAAGGAGAGATTTCACTACTACATATGTATGTGTTTAAAAAGGCATGCTGCCCTTGATCTAGAGGTTTTGTGAGGTTGGGGTATCCTGACCCCCGATTCATTGTATTTTTCCCTGGTGATCTAGTGGGGACTCTGCAAACGAAAATCTTACAATCGGATGCCCACCAGAGAAACTTTGAACCCTTTAACATCTGTCAGACATGCAATCCATAAACTTTGGTCGCTAAATTTTGTAAATTACCTTTGATTAACTGGCTGGATGGGATTTGATTGGATTGTTTCCATGGTTTATAAAAGGAGAGAATAAAGAAATTCCATGACCCTGTCCATGACAAGCATTTGGAATATGGATGGATGGACAAAAGGGTAAAAAAAGACACCCAACTTTATTGAAATTGCTGGAAAAGAGTTAATGACCTTCGCTGATTAGGTAAAGTAGTAATTTTGACAGGAAGTGTTGTTTACATTTATTTATTTGGCCAATGATTTTGTCCAAATGACAAACAGGCGAGACATACACTCACCTAAAGGATTATTAGGAACACCATACTAATACGGTGTTTGACCCCCTTTCGCCTTCAGAACTACCTTAATTAATTCTATGTGGCATTGATTCAACAAGGTGCTGAAAGCATTCTTTAGAAATGTTGGCCCATATTGATAGGATAGCATCTTGCAGTTGATGGAGATTTGTGGGATGCACATCCAGGGCACGAAGCTCCCGTTCCACCACATCCCAAAGATGCTCTATTGGGTTGAGATCTGGTGACTGTGGGGGCCATTTTAGTACAGTGAACTCATTGTCATGTTCAAGACACCAATTTGAAATGATTCAAGCTTTGTGACATGGTGCATTATCCTGCTGGAAGTAGCCATCAGAGGATGGGTACATGGTGGTCATAAAGGGATGGATATGGTCAGAAACAATGCTCAGGTAGGCCGTGGCATTTAAACGATGCCCAATTGGCACTAAGGGGCCTAAAGTGTGCCAAGAAAACATCCCCCACACCATTACACCACCACCACCAGCCTGCACAGTGGTAACAAGGCATGATGGATCCATGTTCTCATTCTGTTTACGCCAAATTCTGACTCTACCATTTGAATGTCTCAACAGAAATCGAGACTCATCAGACCAGGCAACATTTTTCCAGTCTTCAACTGTCCAATTTTGGTGAGCTTGTGCAAATTGTAGCCTCTTTTTCCTATTTGTAGTGGAGATGAGTGGTACCCGGTGGGGTCTTCTGCTGTTGTAGCCCATCCGCCTCAAGGTTGTGCGTGTTGTGGCTTCACAAATGCTTTGCTGCATACCTCGGCTGTAACGAGTGGTTATTTCAGTCAAAGCTGCTCTTCTATCAGCTTGAATCAGTCGGCCCATTCTCCTCTGACCTCTAGCATCAAGAAGGCATTTTCGCCCACAGGACTGCCGCATACTGGATGTTTTTCCCTTTGCACACCATTCTTTGTAAACCCTAGAAATGGTTGTGCGTGAAAATCCCAGTAACTGCGCAGATTGTGAAATACTCAGACCGGCCCGTCTGGCACCAACAACCATGCCACGCTCAAAATTGATTAAATCACCTTTCTTTCCCATTCTGACATTCAGTTTGGAGTTCAGGAGATTGTCTTGACCAGGACCACACCCCTAAATGCATTGAAACAACTGCCATGTGATTGGTTGATTAGATAATTGCATTAATGAGAAATTCAACAGGTGTTCCTAATAATCCTTTAGGTGAGTGTATAAGACATCACATACGCAGCGCGGACAAACAGCCAGCTCATGTACAGGTGCATTTTAGGCTGACCAGAAACAAATGCAAGATAGCTGTGGGGAAAGAAACTATATGAACACTATTTCGAAACGAGGATCAGAAACGGTATTTACATTTTTAATATAAGCTTTAAAAAAAAAAAACAATAAACCAATTATAAGTGCTTTGAGTATGCCGGTACTCAGCGGTATGCTCTCGCCTAGTGGTGAGCGGATCGATCCAAGTATCGATAATAATGTTTGTATTAATATTAATCAATACTAGTTTAATGAGATCGATACTTCAGTTTCAATTTCTCTCCAGAATGCGCTGCTGCTCTCAATAGCCGCTCCCGGCGGTGCCTGGCATGCAAACAGGCTCACTTGCGCGCGCGCGCACACACACACACACACACACACACACACACACACACACACACACACACAGAGAGAGAGAGAACGCCGAGCCATGCTCGCAATAACTAAACAGCAGAGATAGTTTGGGATTTAATCTATCCCTATATTTACTTGGTATCGGATCGATACCAAATCTTGTAGTATCGCACACCACTACTCTCGCCTGTTCTTTGGCTTTTTATTGGCGGTTGACAAACAACAAAATGGTGCATTACCGCCACCAATTGGTAAGGAGTGTGGATCGGGATTCTAATGTCTAAAAAAAAAATAACAAATAATAATAAAATTAAATAAAATCCTCCCAATTAAACCAGTCAACCGAAGAAACTGCAATAGAAAAGGGTAACACGTATTTTTTCTCAACACTTCTGTCAATATGTACTTACTTTAAACCTTTCAAGGTTCTGGATAAGAGTACTTCTTTCGGTTTCATACTTCCTACAATGCACCATAACATGTTCCACTGTCTCTGCCTGACCACAAAAATCACAATTGCCTGTATTATGTTTTCCTATTCTAAATAGTGTGCTGTTCATCCAGTATGTCCAAATCTAAGTCTTGATTTATTTTGTCATCTTTCTGGCTTCTTCCTGCCCCTCTCATCTTACCCACTTTCTTTTGTATTTTATAAAACCATCATCCTTTCCTTTCTTCATCCCACTGCTTCTGCCAACTTTCCTTCATCCGCTGTTTGATGATACTTTTGATTTCTAACCTACTGAAATTAACTGCTATATCAATATTCTCATGTTTCGTGGCTTCCTTTGCTGTTTTGTCTGCTACCTCATTCCCAATTATCCCAATATATACTGGTACCCACAAAAAAAACTACAGCAAGCCCCATTCTTTGAATTCTATACGACACCTGTTGAATATCTAGCAGAATATCTGATCTACCCTCCGAATAACCAGTATGTAAACTGTGCAGGGATGAACTTGAATCTGAACCGATGACGGTTCTTAATGGTCTGATGTCCTCTATCCATCGTAATGCTAAGAGTATTGCAAGCATTTCCCCAGTAAACACTGATAGTCCATCACTAAGCCTTCTCCCTATTTTAAAATGGAATGCAGGAATACTAAATGTCACCCCCATTTTGGTATCTGAATCCCTCAATGCATCCGTGTAGATATGAATGTAGTTGTGATACCCATCAATATAAGCCTGTATCCTTTGAGGATCAAAACTAAATTCCTTGTCGTTCTTCATCTTTTCTAGTATCGAGAAATCAACTGTGGCGTCAGGAAGGATCCATGGTTGTATTGCTGGTAATGGGACGGTTGGACTAATACTAAGTTGAACCACTCCTAGTTCTGATGCTCTCTGTTCCACTGACCATCCAAAGCTTTTTACTCTCCTCTTCTCCTTCTCCCAGCAGGGTTTTAAGGTAACGTGTGTTGGATGAATCTGGTCATGACCCTGTAAATTTGCCCAGTAGGTTACAAACAGTTGTATTCTTCTCAATTCCAACAGCATTTCTCCCATTTCTACCTGCAATGCTGAAGTACAACAAAGTTGTACTTTATGAAATTGAATAGAATCCAACCGTTTAAGAACTGTGTCTGCTGCTGAACCAAAAACCACACACCCATAATCTAGTACTGACCTTATTAGTCCAATATGAATAGCCCTTAATGCAAGTCTGTCTGCACCCCATCCACTCCCTGTTAAGCACCTCATCACATTTAGAACTTTTTTATATTAATCCAACACATTCTGAATATGCACCACCCATGTAAGTTTTTCATGCAGTCACATTCCCAAAAATTTGAAACATTTCGCTCTTTCTAATTCCTGATTGTAAAGTTTAAGTTTTAAATTATTGTCAGTCCTTTTCCTTGTAAAAAACATTACCTTTGTTTTGTCGACTGAAAACTTTACACCCCACTTGTATGACCATTCCTCTTTTTTCGTAATGGCCTCCTGCATTTTCTGTGCAATGAACTCTAAGTTCCTTCCTCTTTTCCAGATAGCGCCATCATCCGCAAAAAGGGAAAACCCCATCCCATTCTCATTTCTTGATCACTAATATATGTATATTTATCCCAGTTTGCCCTATGAAATAACCATTTCTGTAGTCCTTCTCCTTTACAGCTTCCTAAAGCTAAATTTATTTTTATTATAGGATAGTGATCACTTCCTACTGTTGTTTCTGAAACCACTTCCCACGTGCACTTAGCTGCCAATGTATCAGAAATTAAGGTAAGATCAATAGCCGATTGACTCTCACCTGTTGATCTTCGGGCTTGAAGCGCAAAAAAATGTTTCAGCGGTCTCGGCTCCCCATTGGCCGGCGGCGACGAAATGTTTCAGAATGGCCTCGACCGATTGGACGAGCGACGAGATATGGCCCCTCTGCGATTGGCCATCGCGGCGATGGCCCGCCCGCCGCGCGCTTATTTGAATAGCTGTGTATCTGAATCAGTGTTGCCACCTTTAGCAAGTTTTTAGACCCCTCTAGCGACTCGTTTTCAAAAAAGCGACTAGCGACAAATCTAGCGACTTTTTCTGGTGTTACTGGAGACTTTTGGAGACTCTGACGTGAAAGCACGTATCGTCCTTGCTCTTCTCACCGGGCAGCGGGTGCTGCCGTGGGCTCCTCTCCGTCCCAAAAGCACTCACAGGCGTCCATTCCGCGCGCAGCAGCCCCGCCCAGCTGCAGTCACAGCAGGAGATGTGCATCATTTTCTCACATTGCCATTGACAGTTTTTTTCAATTGTCCTTTTTCGTCCATTTAGATTGTTAATGTAGATTTTATACAACAAATGTTATGGTTAAAAATGTTTCATTTGTTTACTGTGACTTGTACACTTAAGCAAACTTTAAAAAGTAATTCCGCCAGAGTGTCTCTTTGTGGTCACTTTTGCCGGTGATATAAACGTATCTATGGAAAAACACTTTTTGTCTCTCCCACGACATTATTCCTCTCTCCTACAGCGTCCATTACAATTACATTCACATTATGCAAATGAGGCGATGGCGTCATTTAGCGACTTCTAGCGACTTTTGGGACAGCCAATAGCGACTTTCCTTGCTTAAGAGTTGGCAACAGTGATCTGAATGCTGTATATCTGAATATCTTATCTGATTATATTCATATCTGTCACGCTTTCAATGTGAGATCGAGCATCCACACAGCGCAAACATGTAAGCCCAACACTACTTAATCTGTACAGAAATCTCTCGGGCACGTGCGTTATGTTTTGTTATTTATACTGTTATCGTTTATGTTATATTTTTGGGTGTTTAACCGTGGGTGAAATGTAAAAAATTCTCTTTGCAGATCGTTAGTTTGACCGAGCGATCTTAATGTTGTCAACTAGGTGTGTCATTTCAAACGAATGCTATCGATACTACTGGAAAATGTGGAATCTGCGAAAAAAAAACGGGCTTACCTCCCTCTCAATTAAATTTTTGCATAGATCAGTTATGTGGTCAGTACCATATTAGTCATACTTCTGGCCAGTAATTTCTCAGAATGCATTATTTTTAATATCTTGCATAGAAAAGGTGTATTTTTAGTGTCATCAGTCATACTTGAGGCCAGCAATTGCTCAGAAAGCATTTTTTGTTAATATTTTGTATGGCAAAGTTATATTTTCAGTGTCACTAATCATACTTCAGCCCAGAAATTTCTCAGAATGCATTTTTTAAATGTAAATACGGCCATGTTCTCTTAAAAATGGATGGAATGTGCATGTGTGTGCATCCAAATATCTTTATGAGCCATTATATAAATATATCCATATTTATTTGTATTATGTCTTGCATTATGTCAACATCAGATGGAGAGGGAGTCCGGCAAACTGAGCAGCACTGCAACAATGAGCAATATAATGCACAATAAGGATGTGTTCCTGAGGTAAGCAATTAAACCACAAGGCACAACATCACCACATCCCAACATCAATACAGAAGTCCTATGTTAACCAATCCCTCATTTGATTTATGCTCATAGCTAGGTATGCCAGCTCCTTCCTCTAAATTAGCGAGGCCATAAGGCAGCGGAGGCAGCTGGAGGCTGTCAGACGAGTGTGTCGCGGGATTTGTTGCACATAAGCATTGTACCTATAAGGAGCTGTATGTATCCGAGGACAGCTTGCTCTACATATTGTAGTCTGCACACAATTATTTGAAGTTCATGCATAGGAAGTGAGCACTCACTCTCCGTAGCAGCCTGCTAAATGTGATTATAGTAGTAATGGTTGTAATTGTCAGCAATAACGATTGATGATTCAGTGTGCTAAATATAGTATATATAGAACTAACAACTCCAGGGTTCTTTTATTCAGACTTGTCCTGTGTTACTCCCTTTATCAGCTATTCAGAGGCCCTGATGGAGCACAGGGGTACAACCACAGGGTCAGGTGGGGCTGCACCAACAGCTCGGTGTCTCAGACAGTCACACTGCCAGCATCGTCCCTCTCTGGAATAATCTGCCGGAGAGAGACTGGTAGCTGCCTACCAAGGCACATGGACCGGCTCCTGCAGGGCAGGTTCAAGGCCAGCCACTTCAAGATAACAGTGTATGCAGGGCAAGAAAGCCTGAAATTGAATTGTTTATGCAGATGATATTACAGATTTCCTGGCATACACTCTCTGCTGCTGTGATACACTTAGCCTAACTTCTACATTTTTCTGAGCAGCTGCCTGCTGGGCCAAGGCACTGGGCCTGAACAGTGGCCTCACATGAGCCGACTCAAATAGGCCATCTGCTTGGAGCTCTGCTTTCTTCACTCAGCTGACCAGACGATCGCTGGGGTGAGGCTGAACTCCTGGGCTGCCATCCTGCAGGACTACAGCAGGATCAGACGGCTGGTCCTGAGTATCCCGGGGCTCATGCAGGCCACATCACTGCAGCTTTTAGAAATAAACCAGTGTGCACTGTCTGTTTGATAAGTATGTTTAGGCAACATTTAGGATTAGCTGAAATTAGGGATTTTTTTTTATGGCTTAATGATTAATGTTGACTTAGGTCAGTGGTTTCCAAACTTTCTCTGCAGGGCCCCCCTTTTCTAGATAGGAACATTATTGAGTCCCCCCATTCAAACTACACAGGTTCAGATTCAAACTTTATTTGAAATAAAACTCCCTTTTCAAATTGAGCGAAACAAATGCAATTACAAAATAAAAATGGTGCAAATTTGCAAGCCTTTAGATGCAAAAAATCAACGTCGATTTCTCACACCTTCAGGCGGCATTCTGCACCATGTGCTGACGTCGACAAAGCGACCCTTTCAAAATAAAAGCACCACCAACTCCTGTCCACAAACGTCCCTTAGTTGAGTATTTCCCTCTTTTTTAATTATCCATTCATACATGCACACTGAACATTAAACACATGGATATACTGCCTTTTTTACATACAAACTATCTGCTGTCACAGACCTGCCTGAAATACTTTTGTCCATTATACAAACAATTGCACATACTTGTAACTTCCATCCAGTGACTACATTCAACATATCTATTCAGCTATCCCAGCACTGCTGGTATATAATGGTTATATTGAAGTCTTATTATCTATGTATAAATGGATTTTTACATACAAGTTGTTGAGACCTGCGTGAATGAACGAGCATGGAGCGGGGAATCAGACTAAGGAAGCTGTGAATACGGGTAAATGGGGTTTTATTAAAGCACTGGTTTTGAGAACTGGTTTTCAGTTAATTTACCTGGTAAAATAAAGTTTAACTAAAATTACATAAATGCTCTAATAGTACACGTAAGTTAGTGGTTTATTTATTGTTAGTTACTGTAATGTTGCGCTGCTTTATTTGTTAAATCATCTAGTCTGTGAAGAGATTATTTTAGGGTGGCACATGCCCCTGAGGCTAACCCTTAACCCCCCCCCCCACTGACTTAGGTTATTTAAAAAATGTCTTGTTTCTTGCAGATATAACAGTTTAGTCAAGCAGCAAGAACGTGCTGTGCTCTCCATGGACATCCCTCTCCCCAACCCCAGCCTGACAACAGCCACCCCTCTTGGATGCACACACCCCCAGGCAGATGGACCAAGAGCCTGCAGAACGCCAGAACCTCCTTCTGACCTAAGGCTGTTCACCTTTTCCTCCCCTCCAGACCTGTCTGGGCCGGCTGTGCAGAGACGGCAGCCAGAAGCCGCTACTCCTACACCACAACCCCAGCCTGCCCCTCTGCTCCCTGTATCAGTCCCACATGCTCCCTTACCTTCCCTGCCGACACCTGAACCAGCCATAGCTGCCCCCCTGACCTCCCCGGCTCCCTCGCAGGCAGACTCCCCCAGCAACCTGCCCGGGTTAAAGACTTGGAGCCGGACCATGGAGCGGAGAAGGAGGAAGGCAGCTGAAGCCTTGGCCAGTTCCCAGGGTCTCCCCATCCCACCTCGCATGACCCATCAGCACTGCACGTGCAAGCAGAGGCTGGAGTTTGAACACAGAAGGTTCAAAAATAAAATCTCCTGTGAAAAGGCGGAAGGGAAGTCATTTGAAGAGTGGAAGGTGCAGCAGGAGGAGCCACATTAATTAAATGCTTTTTACAATTAATTACATTTTTATGATTGATTTTCTTATATTGTAATTTTAATTATTATATCCATCCATCCATTATCTCCCGCTTATCTGAGGTCAGGTCACTGGGGCAGCAGTCTCAGCAGGGAAACCCAGACTTCCCTCTCCCCGGCCACTTCAGCCAGCTCCTCTGGGGGAATCCTGAGGCGTTCCCAGGCCAGCCGAGAGACATAGTCCCTCCAGCGTGTCCTGGGTCTTCCCCGGGGCCTCCTCCCAGTGGGACATGCCCGGAATACCTCACCAGGGAGGCATCCAGGAGGCATCCTAATCAGATGCCTGAGCCACCTCATCTGACTCCTCCCAATGCAGAGGAGCAGCGGCTCTACTCTGAGTCCCTCCCGAATGACCGAGCTCCTCACCCTATCTCTAAGGGAGAGCCCAGCCACCCTGCGGAGGAAACTCATTTCGGCTGCTTGCACTCGCGATCTCGTTCTTTCGGTCACTACCCACAGCTCGTGACCATAGGTGAGGGTAGGAACGTAGATCGACTGGTAAATCGAGAGCTTCGCCTTTTGGCTCAGCTCCTTCTTTACCATGACAGATCGATGCAGTGTCCGCATTGTATTATTATATATTTTATATGAGTTTTATAAATAAAATTATTAAGTTTTGCTGAAGTAAGGTAAGGCATAAGTAATGTGTATATAAGAATCCCCCCGAATTCACTCCCTCCCCCCCTCATTGTGGGGATCTGAAATTAACATTTTGGATATCTGAATTTCAGATGTCTATAATTACGTTGTGGAGATCAGTAATTAAATTTTTATTAGTAAAACTCAATTATGGATATGTGGGGCTGGAATTCTTACTAGTCAAAATGTATTTGCTAATATCTACGATAGTTCGTACTAGTAAGAATTGAATTACAGAGCTCTACAGCATCGAGTTTTTACTAGTGCTGTAGTCTTGAGACCAATTTTTTGTGGTCTCGGTCTTGTCTTGGTCTCGACTCTATTTGGTCTCAGTCTTGTCTTGGTCTCGACCCTATTTGGTCTCGGTCTTGTCTCGGACATAGCGGTCTCCATG